GAATACTGTCCGTTGTCCAACGTAGTGCGCAAAATCATGTAAATTGCAACGTCAGCAAGTATCCCGAATATAAAAGAATGGAAAACCAGGGTGAGGTGCAGTCTCGAAAAATTGCTCGTCATGGTCATACCAACGTTTGTGGATCTACAAGGATTCATCGTTAACAAGAAATTTATCGTGAAGGAAGTAGCGGTGCTGAGAGGGGGAACCATTCTCATACACTATATTTTTTCACATCCTATGCCATGGCATTTTCTGACGAGATTCGACAAATCTTGCACTTCCTGGTTGAGTACTTATCACCATGGATTGCGGTGGGATGACGGGATGGTCCCTTACAGCACGGTGAGACGTTTAATTACGGAAGCTGTGTTAGAAGGGGATGTTGTATATGTCAATGAACACGAAAAACGAGGTTGGCTAGCTGATATGCTCGACACTGATGATATCATCGTTGAAACTCTGGATGCGCATTATAAAGATGTAGAATCGCTACGTAATCTAGATGATTGTAATACTATACGATGCGGAAAACACGCAAATTGCGCTTTACAAAATGTATTTAAGATATTTAACTGGTGGTCGCGACACCAAGAAAAATTGTAAGATTTTTAAATAAAATCTATATTATCTTACATTAATATGTTTATTTCTATTACCCTTATACCTGTAGACATTTAAATAAATATAACTAATAGATGTTGAAATGAACTGATAGCGGTTCGATATCAGTCTGATAGCTGTTAAATATCACTCTGGTAGTTTATAGTAGACCGATATCAGTCTGATAGCTGTTTATAGCTGTTAAATATCAGTCCGATAGCTGTTTACAGCGTACCGATGACTGTTTATAGTTGCTTTGTTAACAGTTCGATATCGGTTCAATATCGGTTCGATAACAGTTTGACAGTCGTTCGATAGCCGTTCGATAGCAGTTTGATAGAGGTTTGATAGCTGTTTATAGCTGTTAAATATCAGTCTGATAGCTGTTTGATGACGGTTTGATATAAGTCTAATTGCGCTTCAATGCGAAGAACGAATAAAAGAAATGCTAAGGTAGTGTAATCTTTCGAGCGCGAGATATACCTTTGGCCGAGGCATTGTACTTTCGTCGCTGATATAAAACGTTGGTGATGTAAGTATGACAGATAAATGCTACAGTTTTTTCATGGAATCTCGGATGTGAGATATACGTTTCGGCTGAGGTACAAACTTTTGCACGTGGTGCTATACATTTCGGTTGAGGTATAAACTTTTGCACGTGGAATTTGGTCGGAGGATTCTTTCTAAAATGATATCACTCTGTCACGTACATTTTTACTATAAATTGTCGCACAGCCTCCACGGTCCCGTCAGTTTGCTTGTCGAATTAGTTCAGTCTGTTAGTTCAGTCTGTCAGTCTTTAGTAAATCTATATCATGGCTAACATTAACAATTTACTAGAGTGCGCGCATTACATTAACGTGCAGGCGTAGCAGTTGGTGCAGAAATCTACCGAATTAATTGAAAGTGCGCGCAATTTGCAGCGGGAGGCTGCAGAGACAAATATGTCTATGCCCAATGGGCTTGAGGCTGCGATAGATATTCGCAACGATAATGAGCTGATGGAGAAAACGTAAGTACAATATTATTAATTCAGCAATTAGTAGTGATTCGGGCGAGAGAGAGAGATGAGAATATTTTAACAGTTATTTCTATCATGACTAGATCTCGGTATCAATATTTTCTCATCTTGATGAGTCGAGATTATATATATATATATAT